CATTGGGCTACCGTCATGTTTGCCCACATTTCGGCAGCCATTCTTCACTGGGATCAGGCTGCGTGGTCCTTCTTGCCAGTGAATCACAGTGACTTCTCGAATTCAACAGGGTCGACAAGCCTCCCCCCCCCTCAGGAGACGAAGAACGAACAGAGATGTGAAGTTTAGATGTGAGGCAACAGCTAAAGGGGGGATCAAGTTTCTTTGGGCTTGGCTATATTTAACCCAGTGATCTAACAGCAGGCAGAGGGTTTAAATGCCACCGGGCAGTTGGTGCGAGCAGTTGTCGTCCACAGATCCCCCTCAGCGTCCGCTCGGGGAGCTCAGGACCGTACTGTGGCTACAGATCCCTGCCGGAACATGGAGCTGTTTGAGACCAACCCATACTTCTTCCCCGACCAGCGCTTCTATGATGGTGGGGATGTCTGCTACCCCTCCCGGCTGCCCGCCAGCTATGACCAGGGCGCCTACTCGGAGCGGCCCGCCACGGGGCTCCTGTCGGCCGGTGTGTGTCCAGAGGAGAAGTCGTCACCGACTACACCGGGGCCGCCCCCATCCCAGGAGCAGTGTCCGGGTCAGTGTCTGCCTTGGGCCTGCCGCGTCTGCAAGCGCCGCTCTGTGACAGTGGACCGGCGGAGGGCCGCCACGCTGCGCGAGAAGCGCCGGCTCAAGAAAGTGAACGAGGCCTTCGAGGCCCTCAAGCGCAGCACCCTGACCAACCCCAACCAACGGCTGCCCAAGGTGGAGATCCTGAGGAGCGCCATCCAGTACATCGAAAGGCTGCAGGCGCTGGTCAGCTCCCTCAACCAGCAGGAGCGTGAGCAGGCCGGCCTGCTGTACCAGGGTCCCGCGGGGCATGCGGTGAGTTTGCTGGGGCTGCGGGGGGTCGCAAACATCACTGAACACCCATGTCATGTCAACATACTTGCCGCGACAATCTCTTAAGGTACAAAGAAAAAAGAACATGGGTGAATCATGGGATCACTGTTTACCTTTATTTATAAAGGTAATTACTTAATAAACTCGGCTAATCTCCAGTAGGTTATAGGTTTGAATCATAGCATGGTAAACTTGCTGTATCCTTTAGTAAGTCGCGGAATTCTATCCGGGGGGCGTCCTGAGAGCTGCGAGTAGGAGTAGACAAAGCTGCCTGACTGGCGCACAAAGCGACACATCGGGACGGCCCTCGGAAATGGCTGCACAATCCAGATTACAGCGTTGTAACGGGATTGCTGAAGCGCGAACGCCGAAGCGCATTCTCTCCGCAGCACCCGCCCCGTGAGGAGCGCTGCCCCACCACTGCCTTCTCCAGGGCCATGTAATTGCTCAATTACGAAGCACCACCCGTGACCATCGGCACCGGCACTAATCCGTCTGGCATGGCAGCTCTTCGTGGTGGGCGGCTCGTCAGGGAGCTCCTGCAGCCTCGTTGTCGTACTATAGCCGGGTTCTAAGCCCCCACCGGCAGCCCAGGGCAGCGTTATGGAGTTGATGGGACTATTATGAGTTGCGGACCCCCATTCTATCGGCCCGTCACAGCGTTTTATGAGCCAGGCACGCACGTGCGGGGGGGTGCCCACCACCATCGAGTCAGCAGGTCGGAGCGTGCCGTGACGGACAGTGACACATATGCTCCCCCCCCTCCTGTAACAGGTGTCCTCCCCCAGCGGCCCGCGCACGGGCAGCACCTGCTGCAGCAGCCCCGAGTGGAGCAGCGCCTCGGAGCCCTGCGCCCCCCCGTACCCAGCCAACCCCGAGGGTAAGCAGCCCCCTCCCCCCCCCCCAGTCAGGTGACTAGCAGTAGCTTTGACCTTTGATTCCTATTGGCTATTCAGCTGTACAGTTTCTGCTGGAACCAAACACCCATCACAAAAATCAAGGTCAATAAGTCAGGCCACCCTATAAACCAGGCCACCCCCACAAACCAACCAGACCCCCCACCCTATAAACCAGGGCACCCTATCATTTTTATAAACTGAGAACACTGACAGTGGCAAAATTATAGCCAAATTAATGTAGCTTAATGCTAACGCATTTTCTTTCACTGAAGTCTTAACCAAAACAAAACAGGCTATACTAGCTAGCCGTATGTTTTCCCCAAAATGACTTTGACACCACCTGTGTGCCCCCCAGACCTCCTGAGTGACGACTCCTCAGAGCAGCCCAACTTACGCACCCTCAGCTCCATCATGGGCAGCCTCGTGGCGGGTAATGACAGCCCTGTAGCGTACGCGGATGACATCACCAAATGAGCCCCGGGCTTCCCGGAGCCCGCCTCAGGGGCCAAAGTAGCACTACCAAGAGACCAGACTCACCAGGAAAGGCCCGGCAAGACTTCCTCCCGGCAGAACCTACGTTCCACATTATGACAAACTTCCCTTCCTACACGGAGGGCCGGATGAACACGAGACAGCCAGACTGTCCGTACTTAACATGTATTTCACAGCTTTTGTCCTTTCCAAAATTTTCCTTTACGTTCTTTCATTAATCACGTGTGTTGTTATGCTTAAAATGAGGGTAAATTTGTGGGGCCAATATTCAACACTGCAGTTTGACCAAGTTCAGCGTAATTTAAACTAGATATGATTGCTAGTGATGTAAATATGTTCCCTTTTTCTACAGAGTGGTTTTGCTATTGTATTTTTTATTGTTTTGCTAACTTATTTTGACTTTTATAATAAAGACTGTTGTGTATTTGTACATCACTGCCATACTTATTTTGTCTTACATAATTTCATTCCCAAAACAGCCCAAGACTGGTTCATTGTTGTGGTTGACCAGGTGAAGACCACTGTCCCAAAATATCTAATAATAATTATAATAATATAATTATAATAATAATTATTATCTCATAATAATGGGTTAATGTGAGATGTGCTATATGTACTCTCACTCCATGGTAACAGCACTGAGACACACAGCATAAACGTAGCCAGTTCACCTACAGTTGACCTCCCTGGTACAAATGCAGGTTGCTGGGTGAAAACTCAAATAAAAAGTCATGTTAAAAAAAAAACTCTACACTGGTTAAAAAAAGTCACCTGAATGTCCAGGACACCGGCTGAAGACTGAGAGGGACTGTATCGATTGCAATGACAGTGACTTATGGAGTACACAGACTGTGACACACACACACACACACACACACACACACACACACCTGCCTGACACATCGCCCTGCTGACAGGGCTCTATCACCAAGGAGATCATTATGGAGACCACTAACTGTTACAGCAGACCCATTCCTCTCACTGACAAGATGAATGTTCTGGAAACATCCAGTTCAGCAGAATATATAAATGATCTAAGACATTGTGGAAAAACAGTTTTGCAATGGGTGCAACATGTGACCAGTTGTGGAAGATAAAATTCTGATTCAGTTTTGCAAATTCATTAAATTAATATCTCAAATGCAATGCATTTTCTTCCGATGATCGCATGCAGTGCATGGATTTCAAAACAGTATCTATTATTCCAAGCATGTGGGGGGGGAGGAATACTTGGGACAGGATGCCAACCCGTTACAGGGTGTGCACACATGCATACAGTCCACGTATTCATATCTTTCAGGTTTTACCACACTTTGGGGACAGTTTGGTCCCCAAATATGATCTATGCAAACCCTCTCTCTCTCTCACAAACACACACACACACACACACACACATACTATGGGCAAGTTGAAGTTTTCACATATTCCTATTCCTGATTATTATATATAACAAAGCTGCCATCTTAACCTTTTATCACAACCTTTTCTCAGAATTGTGGGGGCCAGCACTAGGCACCCATGTGTCACGTGACTTTGATGGGCATGTCTGATTGGCTGTGGATTCTTCTGGTTCTTACTTTGTAATAAAATATAAGCATAAGCATAATAACAGTTGTTATAGTTAAGCAGAGATGCTTGTAGGTAAAGCGATAAAGAGGCCTGAATTCTTCCTACATGCAGATTTGTTTTTCAGTCCAGTTCACTTGATGAAGATCCTTCGGGTGTGAAATGATTTTCTGATTCAGTAAATGTATATATAGGAGTTTATTTTTGACGTCTAAATGAAAGTAATGCAATGTAACGAGCCCTTTGAGACCGGCAGCCCTTTGTGACTCTACCACATAAATATACTGTTGGTCATTATGTTCCAAGTTCATTAATAATAACAAAGATATATGTAATATTAAGCAATTAAACATTACAAAGAGCTGAAGAAAGGACCAAGCACTGGTTTATGCTGCCTTTCGACAGCATATTTAGGCACTGAGTTGTTGTTGACCAGGAGGCTGCATGCTTGGTGTTGGGTTTGAATTTATGCAGGGAAAGACCAGCATTCGTGCATGAAATATGACGTGTCACTTCAGTGTGCCCCTTTGCAGCACATGCAGCACGGCCCACGGCAGGAGGTCACCGCCTCAGCTGCAGATCCCCAGATGAGGCTTCCTGATTCCCATGAGCCAAAGACCTCACAGGGGCAGGGCCACAGGGGCACTGGCCCTAGCCGAATGCTGATTGGCCCCCGGAGTACCCCCTCCCCTGTCAGTCCCCTCTTCGAAGCATATGATTGGCTAATGATAAGGTGTGCCCCACAGTATCCCAGAATTGTCCCTGGGAAAACACCGCTCTACCTTTGAGGTCAGTCTGGATGCCAGTGACACCTGTATTCACTACTCAGTTCATCATCAATAAGCTCCAGGGGCGCTGGATGGATGGATGGATGAATGGATGGATGGATGGATGGATGGATGACTGACCCTGCGCTCAGACCCTAAGCTTCACTCTCACCTCCATATGTGTGCCTGTCTTAAAGAGCAAGACGGGGTATGTGAACACTAACATAGTCCAGCGTATGTGTCCTCATACGTGTACAAATAGCAATTCAATGGTTTGGGTTTTGTCACAGGAAGAGCATCGGTATATCAAACATTCTTTCTGGTGGGTCTGGGTTTTACAACTGAATCGACATGTAGATACTCTGTTTTCAATGGAAAAGCTATTTGGTGTTATTTGGCATATAAGTAACTCAGCACACTTTTAATAACCAAAAAAAACAACTTCATTTCTCAGCTCCGATTCACTTGGCATAAAAGACACTTACAGTACTTACAGATGCCACAAAAAGCACATTACAATTGTTAAAACATCTTTTACAGTTTGTAAAGAAAAAGTATATATACACACACACAATTCATACTTCATCTCTGTGAGGGAATTTGTGATGAGGAATGGAGGGCGGCCCCAGAGCACAGTCTGTGGGTGATCACAGGTGAGAAAGCACTTCAAAATAAGTCTTGCAGCGTTGGTTTCCGTGACCTCTTCATAGACACACGGGATTTCATTGGTTGTTGCAGTCCAGCAAAGCACGAGAGATGTGCCATCAAAGTGTGTTCCCGCCTGATTGGCTATGCCGGGCATCCAATCCAGCGACCTCACGGACTTCAGGTGCCCAATCAGGCCAGGCTCCCCAACAACCCAACTTGGAGATGCAGCAGCTGAGTAGGGTATTGCTGTTCTTTGATCGCAAACTCCCACATCCACACCCGTCCTTTAATCCAAGTGCTCAGTTCGACATCGATCACACCGTTCCGTTCGTAAAAAGGGAGGGATACAGAGACAGCCGAGTGGGAGTCAGTTCTTTGAGGTTTTATGAGCGACTTGGCGAGTATCACTGCAGTATTGTGACACCGCTGTAGCACCTTAACACTCCTCTGAAAAGTGACATCTCTGAAAAAACCCCACATGGGCATTTCATAAACTGAGAGCAAATGGACACCAGTCAGGAAAGCAGGGATCCAACACACACAAACAGCCACCAGCTATAACAGAACATCTGTTTAGATACAATAGTTATATTTTTAAAATTTGATATGTATAATTTATATATATATATATCTCTATAAAACGTAAATATTCCATTTATATATATATATATAAACACACAAAATGATGTTAGCCTTGTATAACCAGTGGAAGTTGTACTGTATATACTCTATACATCGTAGATACACCCAGGAAACATACTCTACCCGACAGACTATGTGAGGTACATCCGTAGAAAGAAAGAGCATTGGAACGACATCACGGCCACTAACTGGGAAAACTGGATATAACTGGAGCGGCTGTTGTCACTCTTTGTTCATGGGGGTTGTGCACAGAGTCCATGGATCTCCGCTATCGCACAGATTCCATAGAAATGGCGTCGCCAGGAAGGGGGGGGGGTGGCGGATGGTGTCTGTCGCCGAGCGCGAGCCCTTACCAAAAACCTCCCCCCCCACTCCTCCTAAGAAACCACGACAGCTGGAATTTGGCACATCAGTCTCGAAAGGCAGCAAGCATATGGCCGTACAGGTAGTGGGATTGCACTGTGTGGAGAGCAAGAAGGGTGAGATTTCAGAGTGCAGGCAAAATCTCCAAAGCCCCCCCCCCCACATCGCAAAGCACATGGACACCCCAGCCAAGAGGTGCCAGCCAAACTACCATCTCTGACGCGAGAGGACAGTGCGGATGGCTGCACACCTGGGGAGAACTAAGGGGGAATTCCTGTCAATTACAGGCGGCGATCCTCTTATTTCCTACGCGTTCAAAGAAAAGTCTATTAAAAGCAGGTCGACCAGACAACTGGCCTTTTGTTTTAAGAAAAACTTTTTCTCTGCTTTTATTAATGAGCTATTTCTGTTACGATTCATCGGGCAGGCCTTTGATGTGACAAAACTTAAGCGCTTTTGGATTTTGGGATTAACATATTTAAGTACTCTCGGCTGTCTCTTACATACAGAGAGATACGCGGCCACGTTTTTGATCTCTAATTTTGTTTTCTAACAATTCTCAGTGATATGAAGCTACAATACAGTCCTGACAATGATACATTATTCTATTCTGTTACTAATGCTGTATATACAGCTACTGTAATCATACTGACGAGGGGGGAAAAAACAGCCTGGTGCTGATTATTTCTAAAGAAAACGGACTTTCAAACTTTAAGCCTCGACTTTTATCTCCGGCTAAATTCTGCTTTCTTTCATTCTCTCTCTCTTTCAGCTTTCCTGTCAAGCTTTCACTGCACCCGATAGCTCAGAATTGTTTCCCAGTGCGGTCCTCGGAGGCCCACTAATGGTCCACGTTTTTGCTCCCTCCCAGCTCCCTGCCAGACAGCCCACTTTTTTGCACCCTGGGGCAATAATGTGGACTGTCTTTGGGTCCCTGAGTACCGGGTTGGGAAACACTGGCTTAGAAGCTTCCATCCGACACCTGGCTTCACCTGGAGAGCATTAACTGGAGAGTTTTAGTATTTTTAGTAACATATTAGTGTATAAATTATTAAAAGCACCATCTTGGTATGACACTCCATTACACCTGTATTCTAAGCATCCACTGCAGCTTTAACACTGCGAGGTGTGGAATCACTCCAGAGCAACAGCTTCCCTCAAGGTGAACCTGGGTGACTAGCTAGCAGGCGTTTTACATCTTTTACACTTGGGAGTGTTGTGGAACAAGCGGCCATCGGGCAGGAGAGGACACTTTGCATGATATGACAAAGGGAGGGGACATAGACAGGGCCAGCCCAAGGTATAAGCGAAATAAGAAGGGGCTTAGAGCCCAACGGCAACTGGGGGGGTCCCCCATCTGATCAGCCTGTCAGAACAGGAAGGGAGATGAAAAATGACAACTCGGTCAATCAAATTCAGCTTAGGGCTACAAAAAGGGGTGGGCTGGCCCTGGAGATCGACCATCATGCCATGGGGGGACGACAACCTGAGTGCTGGGAATAGACAGAGATCCAGCAGAGTCAGGGGACGGGGGTTGGGGGAGGGCATCATGAAGCGACAGGAAGAGAAAGCTTCAGGGTATGACCAATGCAGACACCCCCGCCAACCCCAAAGTCCTCGATGAGACTCACCTGCCACCTGCAGAACGGAGTTAACAAGAGTAAGTCCGCACAGTGGAGGGATCTAACCTCGGCGAGGGGGGGGGTCCGGCTAGTGGGGGGTGCAGGACAGAGAGGAAATGTCTCACAGTGAGCGGCGGTAGGGAAGGCAGACACGAAGGCACTGAGCCGGGGGGAGGGGGCCAGGGCTGGCGGACTGGCCCCGCCCCCACATGCTGCCCCCCCACAAACCTGAGCCCAGCAAGTGGCCTGGGGAAAGACACCCCCGTCCCTCTTCAGTTTCCTAAGCTTCCCCCCCCCCATTAGTAGAGATGTTAGCAGGGCGCACTGTGAGCGCCATAGTGAGTATGTGTGAGGGGAGAGGGGTGGGTGGCGAGGGGGGGTCAGGGGGGCCTACCTTCGGGCTGCAGCCTCTTGGGGACACCGGGCGTCGACAGCGGCACCGACATGGAGGTGAGGCGGAAGCCGGCTGGCAGCGTCTCAATGGAGCCCGGCATGGTGCCCAGGCCCTGGCCCTCCCGCGGCCTGAAGCGCTTCCTCCACGATGGAGACCTCCGGAAGGACTTCTCATCACTCTGGGGGGGGGGGGGGGGAGGTCACCGATCAGGATAAAGGGCAGTGATTCGACGTGAGGTGTTCAGATGCTTATGTGTATTACCCAACACCAATTCTAAATATGTTTATCCTATTTCAAGAACTGCTTTTCATAGATACTCAGTATTTTGTTGATTCTAGTACAGTATTTTTTGGGGGATAAAAAGCAGAGATCGAACTCTGCACCTGGCCAGGTGATAAATACCAACAGTTTGTAGACGCTGTTAGATATTCACAAAATTGGATGTTGGGTCATAAATCTGATGACTGTTTCATTTGAGCCCCCCACCCCCTTGGGTTTCACACGTTTCTGTGCTATGCCTTCATTTGTGTGGAACCCATGGTGGGAGGGGTTCTAATAAAATCCAATTAGAGATCAGACCTGATCTCCATTATTTTGAGTACAGTATTTTAAAAAATACCACTTATTTATTTTAAATAACCTTGAGTATCATTTTTGAACTGTGCCCCACCCCTACTCCACTCACCTCATCCAGCCTGCGGTCGGTTCCCAGCGCCAGTAGGTTGCTAAACTCCCGTTCCAGAACTTGCCTGGCCTGTGGAACAGATACAAGCTTACCCCAGGGGTACATTACTTTTCATATTAATGGCCCAGCAGCAACATCAGTCTGCCAGCCATGGGATTCAAACCGACAACCTTCCGATCACTGTCACAGAATCCTAACCCACTGAGCTGCACTGCTCCTCAAAGAATCCGAGGCATCTTCCTGTCCCCAGCGACTTCCCGAGCGAGCCAAACGGGTCACGCAGCCAGTCTCAGTCCACCGTTACGCTGGATTTACCAGCAGGCTGCTGGCTGTAGCTGTCAGCCAACCTGGTGCCAGTCAAGGGCACCGCTGCCATCTGCCTGCATATTCATGAGCAGGTTGCATCACACTAGCTGCTAATCCATAAGCAAACTCAAACATCCGTAAGTTACTGAACTGTTGGATGGAGTAGGGGGACACTGGTCCTTACCCTTTCCGGTATCTGATATAGCTGGAGGTGGCCTTTTTCTCAGGCTGAGGTTTATGCCAATAGCATAACAAGCCCACTGTAATCTATCTGATAATGAGAGCAGCAAGAAACGACTACCCCCCCACACCCCCAACCTCCTCGCAGTGTGAACTGGCTGATACCATCACCGTCTCTCAAAGCGGCAGACCGAACTGATCCGATAAAGCCATTGGCCCAGTGTGCTCTGAACACCCCAATTCCTCCTGGCTTTCAGCAGGGGGCGCCAGAGAGGCATGAAAAGGGTTCAGATGGAAGAATTCATGCTGATGGCTCTCCTCCGGGCCTCTTCAAGTTACAAACCATTTTAAAGTATCTTTCTCATTTCAGTTTGATTTCTGCCATGTGTGTTAGGTTTACTTATGATGCCGTGGCTATGATTAGAAGGTCGTCGGTTCAAATCCCAGGCTCAGCAAAATGATTACACTGTTGGGCCTCTGAGCAAAGCCCAGAACCCTAATGACCCTGTTTTCTACATTGCAGTGACTTTGAATAAATTTTAGTTATATAAATAAAATATAAATGTTAGGCCCACATTAACTGAGCAGCAGTGAGCCATTCCTAGTGCCTAAGGTCTTGGATGCTGACTGCCACCCCCCTGCCCTCCCTCACCTGAGTGTTCTGCATGGGGATCTGCAGGATGAGGGCCAGGCTGCTGTAGTCAAAGTTCTCATCCAGGGCGATGAGGGCACCATGCACGCCACTCTCGAACAAATTGTTGCTGTAGTCTTTCAGGCCGATGGACTGTACCCAGTGTATCACCCGGTCGTTGGTCCACACCAGAATGTCTGTGCAGCCGCACACACACACGCGGTAAGGCTTCATGCTCAGTGCGATCACACGACTCATCATCATATCCCCCGTATGTGCAGTTCCTCTAATGGCCACCGGGTGGCACCCTCTGACAGAGCCCAGAAAAAGGAAATTGATAAAAAGCCAACCTTTGATTTCATGCTGGCACTCCTCCCTCCTGCGCTCCAGATCTTTTCTATCATAATTCAGTCGCTTCAAGCACATTATGCCATACTGTAAACTGGCCCTGTGTGAGACACATAGCCAGAGGTGCTTCAAAATAATTTGTCAAAAAAAAAAAACATAATGCACATCTTGTATAACAGCCTATCTGTTTAGAGCACATATGGCCATGCTAAATAACCACAGGATAAGGGTAACATTAAGAGCAGTAATACAGCCATTTTCCTGTAGAGTAGCATATGGTTCTGAAGGACTTTGAATAGACCTAATAAAATGTCTTATTATGGTATTTCTCAGTGCACCATAGAGCACAACTGACCTATGCAGTGACCTCCAGTAGGCAGTAAACATGCAGCCCCTTTGACGACCCCCCCCCTCACCGGTGGAAGCTGTCCACCATCTTAACATGGGTACGCAGGTCCTTCTTGGTGAGGTGGTCCAGCATGCGGGCGTCCACCAGGCACTCCATGAAGTAGCTGCGGTACTGCGGCAGCCCCAGGCTGGGCAGCCACTCGTTGCCGATCCACTCGTGGTTCATGTCCCCATATGCCAGGGTCTGTCGGGTGGCGGTGGGTTATGCGCAAACACATACTTTTCCCACAATGCAACAGAATATGAATTGTGATACAAATAGACGTTCAGAGGCTTCCAGAGACGTTTTTTTACACTTCCTAATTGGGGAGTGGAGTGGATTCTGACAGTACAGTAACCAGCATGTCACGGCCCCACCTGGCTGCAGTACCAAGTGGGGGGGGGGGGGGGGTGGGGGGGGGCAAAAGGAGCCTTTGCTTTTTTTTTTTTTTT